TGCTGTCAGCTCTTGTTTCCCTGTCACCAGGCCCTGAGCTTTCTCCCTCCTGTACACCGACTCTGCATGCTTCAAGCAGTGTGGTGCAATGCTGTAGAAGCCTGTGACGGCGACGTGGAAGACACTGAGTATTAAGTACCTCGTCTTACACTAATGACCGGCAGAGAAAACTATCCTATTATAAACCTCTATATTCCAATCCATGGGCTCAAAATCCTCTCCCTGACACTTCTATACTTATTTTGTACAAGACAAAAACTTAGGGGCTTCTGATACCTGCAATCCCAGCACTTTGGGAGGCCAAGGTGGGCAGATCCCTTGAGCCAAGGAATTTGAGATAAGCCTGGGTGACATGGCAAAACCCCGTCTCTACAAAAAACTACAAAAATTAGCTGGGCATCGTGGCAAGCGCCTGTGGTCCCACCTACTCTGGAGGCTGAGGTGGGAGGATTACTTGAGCCCGGAGGTCGAGGCTGCAGTAAGCAGTGATCGTGCCACTGCACTCCAGCCCAGGTGACAGAGCAAAACCTTGTTTCAAAAAAAAAAAAAACCCTTACCTGAGGTCTTCTTAGAATCTGAGTCACTATTCCTGTATGTTAGGCAATGACGCTAAAAATCCTTTGAGGAAGGAGGGGTGGGTCACAAAATCCTTTAAAATAAAATTATAAGTGTTTCCCTTTTTTAAGGTTAACCCAGCAACCGATTTTTGAGACAAAGTTACTTCACAATACAGATTTAAATTGAAAGCCACAGAAATATTGCATTTTCCTGTTCTGTATACCGTGACTACTACCCTTCTACAAATGTTATTCAGATATTTAGAACTATAGATTGTACTATCAATTTATATTTGTTTTTTGACAGGTGTCAACCCAAATAGTATTGTGGGTACTTACCAAGGTCATCTTCAACTTGTCTGTGACTGCTAAGTTGTATTTATGAACTTTCTCTTTGATCTCCTCTTTGCTGAGGTAACTGTGGGTTTCCTTCTCTTTCTCAACATCCTAGAAGAAAAACAAGCCATGTCACATGTGAGCAATCATAGAAAAAACTGCGGATAGGCCGGGTGCGGCGGCTCACGCCTGTAATCTCAGCACTTTGGGACGCTGAGGTGGGCGGATCACCTGAGGTTGGGAGTCTGAGACCACCCTGACCAAAATGGAGAAACCCTGTCTCTACTAAAAATATGAAATTAGCTGGGCATGGTGGCGCATGCCTGTAAACCCAGCTACTCAGGAGGCTGAGGCAGGAGAATCACTTTGATTGAGAGGCAGAGGTTGCGGTGAGCTGAGATCACGTCATTGCACTTCAGCCTGGGCAACAAGAGCAAACCTCTGTCTCAAAAATAAAAGGGGATAAGTCAGGATTTTTAAAAAATTCCACACAAGGGCTGGGCATGGTGGCACAAGCCTGCAATCCCAGGACTTTGAGAGGCCAAGGAAGGCAGAGCTTGAGCCCTGGAGATTGTGACCAGGCTGGGCAACATGAGGAAACTCTTATCTCTACAAAAAACATAAAAATTAGCTGGGCGCAGTGGTACGCACCTGTAGTCCCACCTACTTAGGAGGCTGAGGTGGGAGGATCACCTCAGCCCAGAGGTCGAGGCTGTAGTGAGCCATAATTGTGCCACTGTGCTCTAGCCTGGGTGACAGAGTGCGACTCTGTCTCAAAAAAAAAAATTACAACCCATACAAGAACCGTGTTGTTCTTGCACATCACCTTGAAACACACACACACACACACTCTCTCCCTCCCCGCCCCAACTCCCTCGATGCTTCCCTTTGTCTCTTACTTTCAAACTCTCCAGGCTCATCCACCAATTACGGTTCTCATTCTTTCAGACTACAGTCTTCCTAGGGGATATATTTTTTTTAAAAACTAATTTGTCAGCAGCTAGAAGTATCCCTGACCTGTAAACTGTACACAACTACCAGAGGGTAATTCATCTTCCAAACAAATCCCCAGGCCAAGATACAAGTAGCCAGACTTCTTCCCACCCTTCCAGTCTCACCCACTTCTCTACCTCCCCACACTCTAGAGGGAGAAATATCAGTTAAATCCTCTTCTCACTGTGAAGAATTTATCAATAATTAGCTGTCTAAAGAGTCCCACCAGTGCATGACATTATGCAGCAGCAGACATGATCACAAATGACCAAATTACAGCGTTTTGTCACCCTGACGAAGTATACCAGGCACCTAACTTGTACTGCCTTTACTTCTCCCAACGACCTAATCAAGGAGGCATTACAATGAGCTAATGCTAATTAGCACCCCTATGCTACAGATAAGGAGAGAAGATTTACAGAGGCCAAGCAGTTTGTCCAAGGACAACCCAACTAGTTGAGAGACCAAAGTTCTACTTTAATTCAGGTCTTCTAGGGTGTTCCCACTAAATCCAATCGGTGTCCCCAAGGGTCTGGTGCGGGTAAACATTTAAAAACTTACAGAAAGGCTGCATAATCAGATTCAACACAAGGAGAGGAAGAACAGTTAAAATCTAATGATTTACGCCTGCAAAATAAAGCCTTTGTAAACACGCCTCTTTCTGCCAGACACATCACACCATTCTCACAGCTGGATAGTCTCCAGGCAGGCACTGGTTTCCATCTGCCCACTCGAAGCTAGTGTCGTAAATACACCAGGAGGGGCTACTACAGAACTTGCATCAATATCACGTTGAGTAAGAAAAGGCTCTTGATCCATTCAAACCTCAAGATCTTTGACTTGAGACCCTAAGAGGAGTGTGCTGACTACAGATTATCTCGGTGACTTTTCAATGTCAGCACCAACCTGGGGAAGTCTAATGGGTCAGTACACTGGGTAATACTGGATAAATACCAGCACAAGATAATGTGTTCACTCCCTAGCTTCAGGGGTAGGCTTCAAAGTCCCTTGGGAGCATCCTATTTGCCAATGTAAAACCCCAAAGTAATCTTATTTTTGGTATTAGTGTCTGGTAGGGGAAAAGCTGTGGATTAAAATATGCTTTCAAAAGCTCCAGTGACTACTTCCAAGAAAGTGTTTTGTTTTGTTTGAGACAGGTCTCACTTTATCACCCAGGCTGCTGTGCAGGGGCATAATCACAGCTCACTGCAGCCTTGACCTCCTCAGTTCAAGCGATCCTCCCAACTCAGTCTCCTGAATAGCTGGGACTACAGGCAAGCACTACTGCACCTAGCTAATTTTTTGTACAGATGAGGTCTGGCTATGTTGCCCAGGCTGCTTTTGAACTCCTGGGTTCAAGCAATCCTCCCACCTTAGTCTCCTAAAGTGCTGGGATTATAGGTATGAGTCACTGCACTGAGTCCCAAGGAAGTTTTAAACATGTATCACATCTCTGTCTTGCTCTTACCAATCCACAATTAGCTGGGCACCGGTCATAGCTGAAGAAGAAAATGAAGTAGTCTTGGATTGTACATTGTTTTAACTGTCCAAAGACTCTTCAAAGCATATACTAAAAAGTGTACAATAAAGGACCTAAAATCTCATGGATGTGGGATGGGAAGTTGTCAGGGCAAAGGGGTGTTGCAGAAAGTGCACCACACCTGCAAGACTTGGGCTCCAGTCCTGAGTCTGTCACCAGCTAACTCTGTGACTTGGGCTTCACTTCTCTGAGCCTGTTCCCTCATTTTCTACCAAACAAGGAACTAGAGTCAATCACCTCCTCTAAGGTGCTTCCTGGCCTAGGCTGACCTGATTGCAAAGATGTGGAGGCGCTTTCACAGGTGTGACCAGGCCTAGAATAATCTGATTGAAAAGATCTGGTGCTGCTTTCACAGGTATGACCACGGGCAAAAGAATTCCATGTGAGGAATCACCAAAGGCTCACCATTAAAAACACAGGAAATGGCAAAGCACATACACAGCAGCATACATACATCCTAGGGGCTTACCACCACTCACATGAGAATTCTAAGAACGAGGAGAAGGAAAAGGGGTAATGGGAGTGATTAAGAGCAAAGAACAGGGTTAAGTAAAGCTGGTTAACCCTAAATTACAGGTTTTGCTGATGCTATGGGACTTAACACCCAGCCTTAGGCCCCTTCGCACAGGCAGACCCAGAAGCTTGAGGAAAATCCAAAGAGTAAGCCAGTCTGGAAAGAGGTATTTTCCCTGGATCATCCACACATAGATAACTGAGACATCCTTATGTAACAATTATCTTTTCTTCTCAGAGATTAAAAACTAACGAAACTGGCTGGGCGTGGTGGCTCACACCTGTAATCCCAGCACTTTGGGAGGCCGAGGTAGATGGATAACCTGAGGTCAGGGGTTGGAGACCAGCCTGGCCAATGTGGTAAAACCCTGTCTCCACTAAAAATACAAAAATTAGCCAGGCGTGGTGGCAAGCACCTGTAGTCCCAGCTACTTGGGAGGCTGAGGTAAGAGAATCGCTTGAACCCGGGAGGCAGAGGTTGCAGTAAGCAGAGATCATGCCATTGCACTCCAGCCTGGAAGACAGAGCTAAACTCCATCTTTAAAAAAAAAAAAAAAAAAAAAAAAAAAGGATCAACTGGAAAGGAAAGTATATCCCAGAAAAGTAGGTAAAACCCAAAGGGCCCTGATGCTGTACTTTTAAAGCCAAAAATGTAGCAATCATACACCCAAGCCTCATCATTCGGCAAATATTTGCTGAGCTTCTGCCATCTGCCAGGCACCTGCCTAAGTGTGGGGCAGTCAGGCTCAGCAGCAGACACCACGCCCGTCCTCACAGGGCTTGGTGTCTGCACAAGTGGAGTGGGGAAGGTCAAAGGACAAACTGCTTCCAAAGTGGTCACCAAACACTGTTTCTCTGGGTCTGGTAGCAAAGAAGTCATAAGCTTAGGCCTTGGAACAGAGGACGGTGGTTTCATTTAGCATCAGAGGAAGACCCTTAACTCTACAAACTTCCCAATTGTTTACCCCTTTAAAACAGACGCTCCTGTCTGCTCACAGAGCAGAATCCTCCCCCTTCCTCTGCATACACTGATTATGAATCAGAACCACAATCTCTAGGAATGCAGCTGTATGCCCAGGAAAAACGAAGAGAAGAAAATGAAACCCAGGAGGGGCACAGTAGCTCTCACAAGGGATGGGAGCAAGAAGGAAGGGTTAAAAGAGAACGGTGCAGTGGACTGGGATAGATACAACACCACGTGTCAACCCTGGCCTTTCATTGTGATGGCAGGAGAGGAAACGGCATGGGGGTCGCAGTCATCTGTGGATAATGTGTCAGTTATTGTTCTTGGCAGGCAGTGAGGGCATCATGCCACGCCTGAGAGTGTCTGCTTGGTGAGTTACAAGTCATCTTTTCATAAGTCAGTTTTGTTTTGTATTCCCCAAACCCTCCAGCAGTTTCTCAGAGGAAGAGTTCTTCCACAAAAAAATATTTCATAAATCCTAGACTCTTCTTCCCTCATTGTTTCCAGCCAGCAAGCCCTGGAGAGCTGATCTTAGGCTCGCTTCAGTTCCTGGGTGGGATTACGTCACTGTTTTTCAGCAGCGAACTTTCTCAGATGGAACACACCCAACCTCACAGGCACCCAGGAGTTCTTGCATAGCATGGCCCAGGCTCTACTCAAGAAATGCAGCCCAATCCCGCAGGCTCACAACTCAGACTTTCGAAGAATATGCCCCAACAAATCTGGGTAAAGGGTCTGAAAATTGTTTATACTCTTTTGGTTAATTTTTCTATAACTGTGAAATTATATCAAAATTAAAAACATAATAAAATGCCCAATAAACATAGCGCAATTAAGAGTGACTATTCGGGCCGGGCGCGGTGACTCATACCTGTAATCCCAACACTTTGGGAGGCCAAGGTGGGTGGATCATAAGGTCAGGAGTTCGAGACCAGCCTGGCCAACATGGTGAAACCCCATCTACAAAAATACAAAAATTAGCTGGGTGTGGTGGCGCACCTGTAATCCTAGCTACTCAGCAGGCTGTGGCAGGAGAATCACTTGAACCTGGGAGGCAGATGTTGCAGTGAGCTGAGACTGTGCCATTGCACTCCAGCCTGGACAACATAGCAAGACTCTGTCCCCACTCCTCCCTCAAAAAAATAGTGACTGTCCAAAAGAGAGTGAAAAGGTGAATGTGGCCCTATCATTTCCTCTATTTTAGCTTAGTGACAGCCTGTGGACTATGATTTAGACATACTTAGGTCTAAAATCACACAGCTCTGCCACATTCTAGCTGTGTGACCACAGGCAAGTTACTTAACCTCTCTGGGCCTCAGTTTTCTCATCACTGTAAAATGTGCAAAAGAATACCTACTTTATACAACTGTTATGAAGATATAATACAAGCCATTATTCAACAACTATTTATTGATTGCCCATTGGTGCCAAGCTCCATGCCAAGCACTCAAAGCTGTGAGAGACAGTTGTGGACCCCGCCTTTCTGCCTTTGCGTGCCTGACAGCCTAGGAAAGTTTACCTCACTCCCCACCCCAGCCCCACAAGAGGTTTTTGGGTGTTTTTTTATTTTTTTATTTTTTTTTAGTATTACAGATCTCTTTAAAAAAATAAAGATCTTTTACCAAAAACAAACAAAAAAGAGCAAACATTAATAGCACAGATGCTCTGATTGAGTGGGGGACAATATACGCACAGTGCCTGATGCCAGCGGCATGACACTCAGTTAAGTGGTACACCCTGCCACTGGGAGGTCCCACAGCTCTCACAGGTGCTCTGACACCTGGTCAGGTTTGGAGTCCAGCCTGGGTCTGCAGAGAAGAGTGAACTTCCCAGGCCAACAGGGACTTTCTCCAAGTAAGGCTAGATTCCAAAATCATGAATTCCTACTTTTCATCTCGTCTCTTTTGGCAATAGGCAGTCACCTGCTGATGACCAACAGACTGGGATACCCAGTGTAATAACAGACAGAACAAGTTCTAGCCTAGGAATTGCACAGAGCAAAACATCAAGCACCTTTCACACGGAAAACAGCACATTTATCCCGTGTTGCAAGTGGAATTCAAGGCTAGCTCAAACTGAACTGAACCTAGGTCTTGACTCCTCTAGATGTCTTCTAATAAGGACATCAAATAAAGTACCATGGACCAGACCGAAAGAGAAAAACATTCTCTGGGAGAGACATTTCCACTGAATTCATGGAGGGACTTATAAGCAAACCAAAGCAGGTTCGCACTGAAGCATGGTATGAAGTAAACAAGTGATTTCCAGAGAGCACTGTGGGGGTTTCAAAGGAAATTTCAAAAGAAAATTTCAGCATGTGAAGTTAGGTGCTCCTAAACTAGATTTTAAAGTATGATTAATAGGGAAAAATACTGTTCTCAGAAGTCTTTTAGGTATACAAAGTGGAGGCCATGTGATGAATACAAAGAGAATTGTCACAGAGAGCTACAAAGCCCTAGGAGGGTCTTCCAGGTGGGGAGCATGTCTTGCTCAACCCTAGTGAAACGTATGAGAAGAGCCACCTGGGACAGTTTTGCATTTACATTTGATGTTTGTCCAGTGTTCTTTACTTTCGGCACCAAAACCTCTAAGATATTAAAGTAGGCAGAGTTATCAAGCATGGTGTCTCACGCCTATAATCCCAGCACTTTGGGAAACTGAGGCGGGAGGGTCACCTGAGCCCAGGAGTTCAAGGCCAGCCTGGACAACATAGCACACCCTGTCTCTAAAAAAAACAAACAAAGAAATAGCTGGGCATGGTGGTATGCACCTACAAAAACTTGTTTAAAATAATAAAGTAAGCAGAGGTGTTGAGGGAGCCCAGAAAGTTTTCTCAAATAATGATCAGCATTGTTGATATAATCAGGGCTATCAGGGCTATCCAGCAGTGTTTTCTGCAGTGGAGGAAATGTCCTGTAACTGTGCTGTCCATCAGAGCAGCCATGAGCAACATGTGGCTTCTGAGCCCTGGAAATGAAAACTGAATTTTAAGCTTCATCTAATTACTGTAGTAAACATATCAAATACAGACTATAATAGACAGAGATGTAAATGAAGAACGACGAAGGAAAAGATCCACAATAAAACAGTGTAAAACAAGATGTTCTAGAGCAATACTGCAGACCAGGCACAGTGGCTCATTCCTGTAATCCCAGCACTTTGGGAGGTCAAGGCAGGTGGATCCTTGGAGCCCAGGAGTTCAATACCAGCCTGCGCAACACGGGGAGACCTCGTCTCTGCTAAAATTAGAAAAATTAGCTGGGTGTGGTAGTGTGCACCTGTAGTCTCAGCTACTCGGGAGGCTGAGGCAGGAGGATCACTTGAACCCAGGAGGCAGAGGTTGCAATGAGCCAAAATCGTGCCACTGCACTCAAGCCTGGGCAAGAGCAAGACTCCGTCTTTTAAAAAAAAAAAAAAAGAGCCAGGCACAGTGGCTCACACCTGTAATCCCAGTACTTTGGGAGGCCGAGGCAGGTGGATCACCTGAGGTCGAGAGTTCAAGACCAGCCTGACCAACATGAAGAAACCCTGTCTCTACTAAAAATACAAAAAATTAGCTGGGTGTGGTGGCGCGTGCCTGTAATCCCAGCTACTCGGGAGGCTGAGGCAGGAGAATCACCTGAACTCTGGAGGCGGAGGTTAAGCCACTGCACTCCAGCCTGGGCAACAAGAGTGAAACTCTGCCTCAAAAAAAAAAAAAAAAAAAAAAAATTCTACCCCTGAAGGAAAGAATCAGAACAGCTGTTTCTGGGGTGTTTGGCGCTGCTGTTCTTGTCCTTAAAAGTACAGTGTGCTGCTTGCTGCAGTGTTCTCACGGCACCAGTGTTGATAATCTGCCATGGTGCCACATCGAGAGACTCAATGCTTATCTTGGTGTATGGCCCTGGCATGCTGATTCATCCTGGCCACTCTAGGGCTGGGATTTTTTTCCCCCTGCCAGATGACAGGATTTTTTTTTTTTTTTTTTTTTTTTTAATGGCAGGATACAGGGTGGGGCTCTATTTCCACTTATGTGAGGATTCAGGAGTTCATCTTGCCTGAATTCAGCTTGTAAGCAGGCAACTTTTTTAGTGCAGCTACATAAGATGTTCACTTTGTTCATGTTTCCAACAGCAAGGAAAAGGTTAGAGAGGGACTTAACAGCCTCTCCCCATCCCCCAATCCTCCTTGTAGCACTAGATGCATCACTGTCATCTCAGGGCAGGAAAAAAAAAGTGAAAAAACAGAGGGCAACTGGAATGAACAAGGGCAGTGCACACAACACTGCAGAACAGCAGGGGGCCATGCTCCCCAAAGAGTGTTCCATGGAACACCAATCCTCCAAAATGTGCTGTGGACAGAAAAGGCCCTCCTGTTCTTCCTCCTCCTTCACTCCTCTTAGAGATTCCTAGTGTTCCTTAGAATGTTCAAGGCTCTAAGAAATCCTGCAGTTAAGAAACCAGGCCGGGCACCGTGGCTCATGCCTGTAATCCTAGCACTTTGGGAGGCCGAGATGGGAGGATCGCTTGAGCCCAGGAGTTCGACACCAACCTGGGCAACATTGCAAAACCCCCATCTCTATTTAAAATTTAAAAAATTAAAAAATAAACCAGTTAAAGGACACAACAAGAAAACCTTAAGAAACTTTTAATGTTATGAATGTGACATTCCTTAACTATGAGCAAATGAGTACATTATAAAGGAACAAATATTTCTTTTTTCTTATTATTCATTGAAGTGAGCAGATTCTATTCATTAGAGGATTATCAGCACACACAATCCCCATCTGTTGAACTTGAAATTTTAAACAACCTCTTTCTTGGTCCTTAAGGTTACTTGTTAAGCAAGAAGCCGAGGGGGTGGGGGGGGGGCAGGGGGTGGGGGGGGTGGGGGGAGTCTAGGTGGGTATTTTAGACAACTTCTAACACATGGTCTACAAAAATAAAATGAAGCAGCAACCTTATAAGGCTGGAGTACTATACTAGCCTTCCTTAATTACACTTGTATGGAAGAAAAACAAGAGAGCAAGAGTGCACACAGAAAACCAAAGCATACCATCCGCTGCTGCTATACTCCAACTTTACTTCTCACTACATCCTGCCCTACCAGTCAGTGCAAGCTAAGAGCACCACTTGCACCGCACCCTGCTCCTCACCTGGTGATCCTCTGCGTTCAAGGCCCACCCCACCCAGGAAGCCATCCTAACCACAACAGCCCTCAGTTACCTCCCTGTCCTCAGAACCCCCATGCTACCCTCATCAGTTCAGGTTTAGGATCCACAACACCTTCTACACCTTGTTGCTTCCTGTGCATACTTTTGTTTCCCAAATACACAACAATGCTTTTACACTTTCGTTTGCTTGAGACAGGGTCTTACTCTGTTGCCCAGGCTGAAGTGCGGTGGGGCCACATCAGCTCACTGCAACCTCTGCCTCCCAGGCTCAAGCAATCCTCCTACCTTGGCCTCCCAAAGTTTTGGGATTACAGGCATAAGCCACTGTGCCTGGCTGTTTTTTTTTTTTTTTTTTTTCATCTTTCACTCCCAGAATACTATACTGGAACTACCTCAGTGCTGGATATAGAAGAGGGCTCCATTCCTGTTCAGCTGATTCTAATCTGGTCATAGAGCTCACTATTGCAAGACTGCATTTGCAAGCCGCTCTCTTTCGTACATCTTATCAATTGGCATGAAGCTTTTTGCTCTCTTCTCAAAACTGAATGAATCTATAGAGGCATACAAAAGGCCTTTATAATGCCAGATACAAAGTTTGATGTACTTCTGTTATCCATGTGCATCATCAAAGAACAAGAATCCTTCAAAGCATGCCCCCTAAATACTCTCGCACACCCGGGGGCAGCAAAAGCAGGAACAGGCCCAGCATGTT